GGTCACACAGGAGCCAGGGGAATGGGCTTACTCAGACCTATCAAAGTGAGGACCCCTAGACCTGCTCTTCGAGCAGCCATCTCCTGGGATGGGGTGGAAGAGGGGAAGGTGGCCCTGTCTGCCCTGGGCCCCGCCCTAATGTGTTGACTCCCACCTTCTTTAATGAGGGTCATGGCATCCAACTTCTTCGTGTTTTTGTTACTCTCCTCCAACTCAGCCCCTGGAGGAGAAACAGCTCAGAAGGACCATCCCCTTCCCAGAAGCCCCATATCCTACCTGACCAGGGCCTGCAGCCTGCAGCTGGACGGTAAAAAGCCCACACGCCCTGACAAGCTCCTGTGCTGAGGGTCACTCGGAGAACCTTTCAGTGGGTCATTCTCACGTGCCCTTTCTTCCTACACCTGCTACCTCTGGAATGAGCTGGGCCCATTAAGAGGGATCCAGCCACCTTTCTTATGGACACTTTACTCCAGGGTGCAATGCAGGGTTCCACTGCCGACCAACTGAGTGCTTGTGGGTAAATGCCATCTTTCTGGCTTACTTCCCCAGTTAAATGGGAAACAGTCCTTAACATATTTTACTATAGAGCCCTGAGTCCCTTCTTCAGATTTTTCAGATGGGTCCTTTCTGCTACTCTGTAGCATTCCAAACAGAAACTCTCCCAGGTCCCGATCCCCATGAACTCAATTTTGTTCCACTAGGGTTACCATGGCATTGTCAAAGTTACATCCAGCTTCTCAGGTCCTACATTGATAAGATGACCACAGAGCAGAGAAACTGCTGTCTTGGGGCCCTTGGCATGTTCAAAGTTCCCTTGGTCAGCTATGCAAGCCCCTCCCCTTTTTAGGGGGGCTTTGGGCAAGGGTTGCCCTTGTACCTCAGTTTCTGGGTGAATGACAAAAACATCTTGGCTGTGCAAAGCAGCTCTTTTCCCATCCCCCCCGACTTTACTCCTCTCCCCTCCCTCCTCTACGCCCCCTCCCTGTCCCTTGAAAAAAAAATCAATTCTGAGTCACCAAACCCGTCTGATTCCATTTCCGGTTCTCAATGCACCCAGACCCTGACAATGGCCCCATCCCTGCCCACCCAGCAAGTGGAAGTCCCCGGGGTGGCCTGGGCTCCCACTTAGGTCTGTTTCTGAAGCCTACTAACAGATTGGCCCCTTTCTAGGATGAGAAGATTGTCGAGAGTCTATATCATCTCCAGATATAAGAGGTGGTGGGTTAGGCATGCAAGAGACAAGAGGCAGCTCCCACTCTTCAGTCCCTTAAAATGCAGTGATGGACAGAAGTGAACTGGGAGCCAGACATCTCAGAGGAGAACAAGTGTCATCAGAAACCGCATGGAGCGGTCCTCCTCCTCCACCTCTTCTCACTTGCAAACTTCTTCAGGGGCGTGATGCCTGCTGCTGTCACCCTAAAGGCCACGAGGCCAGGTGCCCCCTGGGGCCCAGGAGACAAAGATCAGAAAGGGCTGTCAGCCGGCTCACCAAAGACACTCAGGGGCCTGGAGAAGATGGGGGTCAAGGGAGAGAGCCAAGAGGCAGGGCAAGAGGCCCGGGAAAGGGCGGTGGGTTGGAGGCATGGATGGATGGACAGACGAGGGGAGGAAGGGAAAGGATGGATAGATAGATGGATGGACCGACGAAGTAACGCGGAGGGGGCAGGAGTCCAATAGCACCGCAGACGGCAGGCAAAAGCCGAAAACGAGCAGGAGGTGTGGGGCAGAAGGCAAAGGAACAAGGGGGGCTAGAAGGGGGGTACAGAAGTGGGGTGCGTGGGAAACACGTGGAGAGGACTACTGCGGATGGGGAAAGCCCGAGGCAGGTGCAGGAGGGGCGGAAGCTGGACGACAGCAAGCAAGGAGAAAGATAAAAGCAAGCAGATGTGGGGGCAGGTATTGGGCACCAGCAGAGTCAGAGGTGGGCAGGGTGGGCTGTGGGCGGTGAGCCGGCGCTAGGACCCGGAGGCGCGACGGTGGCGGAGCGGGCGGGCACTAGGACCCGGCGGGTCCTTTGTTTGGCGGGGAGCCG